AAGGAAAGACAAATCAGGTTTTATGGTTGCTAGATAAATATTTGCAACGACTTTAAAATCTCGTTCGTGATAGCAAATGCGTAGTGGGACCTCAGAACGACGACAAAGTTGGGAACAAAATCCCTGCCCAGAGATGTGGTGTGTTGGAGGTGGAGACAGATTGCATTTGCATGGCGGCGGCTGCCTCCGAAACGGGCGGCAGCAATTCCTTTTATGGCAGGCACTGGACTTAGAACCCAAAGACCTGGATTTCATTCCTGGCTCAGCCGCCTCCTAGCAGTGTTAACTGGGACAGGTTAGTTAACCTTTCTGAGACTCAGTGGCCTCACGTGTAAACTGGAGCTCAGGATACCAGCCTGTCGGGGTTGTTGGGACGGTCAAAGGGCACCCCAGGAGCATGATAAATATAAGCTGAAAACAGCAAAGTCGGAATCTGTATACAGACGTGACCTGTGGCCTCCCAGCGCATCAACCCTCACAGTGAACTGCCAGACGGGAATCCTGTCTTACTTCTGGGAGCAGAGGCACAGAGCTGGGAACTCGGCCTGCCGACCTCCCCTGAGGGCTGGCAAGAGAGCCAGGAACGGGATCACGCACACCGCTCCGATCCAGAGCTCCTGCTACCAGGCACATGGCCCCTTCAACAGCTCACCAGCTGAAGGATTTGCTTCCATTTTCTCTCGGGCCTAAATCGCTCCCCAGCTTCCAAGGGGCACTCCCTCTTTCACACTCAAGGGGACCGCCCAGGGAATTGAAGGCTCAGAAAGAGTAGCAACAGGGAGTAACATGGGCACCAGGGGAAAGGAGGCTTGTTATATTCTTTCTAGATGATGAATCTCCAGGCTGCAGCAGTCCCAGGCGAGTCCCAGGCCTGCCGCAAAACCTGTCCGCCGTGGGGCTGCCTCAACACGCTATTTGGAAAGTCAAGATGTTCAGTGTAAACTTTGCTCTCCCTTCCCTTTCTTCAGGGATTCACAGAGGCAGCTCTTTGCCGGCCTCTCTCTCCAAGGCTCTCTGGTGCTGAAATCTGAGGTCACACGCGCTGGAACACAACATCTCTGTCAGAACAAGCCTGTGAGGCGGCCGTCCTATCCGAGAGGGCCGTGCAGCGGGTGGTGTTGGCTCTCGAGTTTGCCATGGTTTAGGTTTCTCCATGGCACTATTTTTGGCAGATTTTTTTTTTTACCCTCGCTCTTTATCGCAAGCCCGTCGGGCAAATGACAGCGGAATTGCAAGCTTGAATGGACTTGTTTGACAGGTCAACCCTCATCCTGAGTGCTGCTCCTGACTTTTAAAAAGGAGCTCTGAGAAGAGGATAGTAATTTCACACTAATTCCCTGCTGTAATTTGCTTTTGAGTTTAAAATGTCCTGTTGCAATCACCCTGGCTGCATGGTGTAAGGGAGAAGATGGGACACACGCGTGGTTAATATGTTGGTAATAGACACACAAAAAGACAGCACTTTGCTCTGAAGCAACGACACGGGAAACATTCATCCACACTTCAAGGGAATCTCTACCAGGTACAAACAAGTGCATTCAAAGGAATTCATAAGAAATTGCCAGCTTTGGCAGAAATAGAGAGCTCCTTTAAACAGAAAACCTGGCACTTGACATCTCCATCATCCAAGCGTTTATTAGAATATCCTCATCCCCCAGGCTGCATCATGTAGAGAAATTGGGGTGGTTTTAGGCAAACCCCAAAAGTAGGAGGGTCTGAATCCCTGGATGGACCTAAATGCATTGGGGGAACAGATCAGGTTCAGCTGAGGAAGGGGAAACTCAGCTGGGAGAAGGTTAAGTTAACAGGTAGTGGCCAAAAGGGAAAAATAGCCTGCAGGCCAAAGAGAGCTGGTGAGGCTGTGCTTGGAACATCCTCTAAGAAAAAAGGACAGGGTCTCGTGGAGGCCAGTGGCGAGGGCTCTGCCCAGTTTAGAAGCAGGAAGCAGTGACCTTTTCTGATTTATTAATCTCACGCAGAAGCACCCTAATCCCACCCCTTCACCACCTCTCACCACGCTGAACTAGCCTGGCCACACTGCCTGACGTTTCTTTTTTCTCCAGGGGACAGCTGCTAATATTTCACATACTTAATCTTGGCCTCACCTAGATTATAAATTCCTCGAGGTCAGGAGTCAACATCCAGCCCCAGGCTCCTTCCCAGGACTCCATAACTCCCTGGAGGATTGCAGAGACCTTCACACATTGTTCGCAAGACTTTTGAAACAATGGCAAGATTGCACAAGGGCCAGGCAGGGTATTTTTAGAGGAACAGATCCAAGCTCTTTGGTGGGCCCTCAGGCTGTTTACCACCTAGCCTGTCCGCTTTTGGTGTCTTTCTGGCCCCGGTCCTCTATGAGCAGAACTGAGTGCCTTCATGTCTCTGTGTCTTTGCAGGAAGCAGCGACCTTTTCTGATTTATTAATCTCACGCAGAAGCTGTTCCCTCTGCCGGCTGCCCTTGCCCCTTCTTCCATCTCTGGGTTGTCTTTCAGCTCTAGGTCACCTTCTCTCTCCCCACAGAGCTGCCAACATCCCTTGGGCAGAGCTGGTAATGGCTCACTCTGCGAGTCTAGGGTGCTTTCTGGAGGCCTTGATGGGGAGGCAGGGCCAACTGCCCAGTCATCAGGTTGGTATGGCCATCGGGTTGGTACTGCCTGGTTGGCAGGTCTGTCTCCTCGGTTACCCTCAGAGTGCCTGGAGGGCAGGGCCGCCTTCCTCCCCGTCTCTCAGTTCTTGGCCTCTAGCACAGTGCCTGGCACTCAGCAAAGGTTTCTCCAACGAATGTGCTTCCCACGTTGGGCAGATCATGGCGAATGCAACAGCAGGGCTCAGTGTGTAACGTGAGGACAACTAAACGGACCCCGCTTTGAGACCAGAGATGCTCCAGAGGGAAACCACGCCTGGAGCCCCTCATGATAAGCTGGGGCAACTGTGACCAGTCCTAGACAGGATGTTTGGGGGGCAGTGCTTGCTTTTGGGAGCCCCAGCCTCATTTTAAGAGCTTGTTCCACTTTGGGGGTCTCTCTGTTTTCCATTTCCAAATTTTTATGCTATCCTTCAGTTACACTTGCTCAAAGGGTGATTGCTAACAGTCTCCGAAAATAGGCTAAGAGGTGAGCAGCGGCGTGCTGGGGTGGGGTACTGGAGGACAGGGCATGGCCCGGGCTGTGTGGGAGGCAGGGGCAAGGTGATGAAGATTCTGGACTCCATGCTGGCCCCAGATGCTAGCCCACCCTGTGTGATTCACTGAGAGTGCCTCAGTTTCCCTGCCTGTTAAACAGTAATGGGTCCTTCATTGAGTTGTTCTGAAAATCAAGTTAGTACAAAGGAAAGCACATAAAGTGTGCCTGACACAGGCAATCACTCACTGCATGCCAGCTCCTGGTATTTGGAATCTGAAGATGAAATCAAATCCAATCTGACTTCCTTCATTTGCAAGTTGTCCAACCGGGCACAAGTCACCTCATCTCCCCACTCACGGCCTCATGTCTGAGATGAGGATAATGAGGCTGACCTTGCCGGCTTTGGTGAGACTCAGATAATCAGATAGTGAAAGTGAATGCATTTTGCAAACTACTAGGTGCCTTTCCAAGGGAAGCATGAAGTCACCTGGGTGAAGGTATTGGGAGGTGAGACCCCATCAGAAATCCTTCCCCACAAGAGCTACCCCTGTAAGGAGTCAATGACTGGGTATTAGCCATGCTTTTAATTTCTGTAAAGTGATGCTTTGACATTCACCTAAGGTCCTGCTAGCCAACCTAAGCCAATTGTGACTCAGCCAATGTAATGGTTAATTTTTTTTTTTTTTTTTTTTTGAGACGGAGTCTCGCCCTTGTTACCCAGGCTGGAGTGCAATGGCGTGATCTCGGCTCACCGCAACCTCCGTCTCCTGGGTTCAGGCAATTCTCCTGCCTCAGCCTCCCGAGTCGCTGGGATTACAGGCACGCGCCACCATGCCCAACTAATTTTTTGTATTTTTAGTAGAGACGGGGTTTCACCGTGTTGACCAGGATGGTTTCAATCTCTTGACCTCGTGATCCACCCGCCTCGGCCTCCCAAAGTGCTGGGATTACAGGCTTGAGCCACCGCGCCCGGCCGGTAATGGTTAATTTTAAGTGTCGACTTGGCTGGTCCGTGGTGCCTGGATGCGTGGTCCAACATTATTCTGAATGTTTCTGTGAAGATGTTTTTGAATGAGATTAACATTTAAATCAGCAGGCTTTGACCAAAGCAGGTGGCCCTCCATAATGCAGGTGGGCGTCATCCAATCAATGGAAGGCTCCAGTAGAGCAGAGCCTGACCCCACCCCTAGGAAGAGAACTCTGCCAGTGGATGGTCTTCTAACTTGAACCGCAACATCAGGTCCTCCCTGGGTCTCCAGTCAGCTGGAGATTTTGGCCTCCATAATAACGTGAGCCAATTCCTTAAAATCTCTCTCTTTCTCTCTCCCTCTCTTCACCCTGCCCCCAACCCCACAGGCATTCTGTTGATTCAGTTTCTCTGGAAAACCCTGGCTAATATACCCATAGGTATCTGGAGTCCTCAGATAACCTTAAACTCTATAGTTATAGTAAAGGTGAATTTCGCAGGGGCACCGCTTGCAAACACAGCTAGCTGGTCCCAAGCCTGCATACCCTAACTTGGTGTTCCTTCCCATGGAAACCACACTAAAGGCTCCTGCTACTGTCCCACTCTCCCTCTGCCTCCTGACACACCCCAAGGCTTTCCCATGTGGCCCTGCATGCTGTGCAGTGTTCTCCCAGGGAGCTGTGAGAATACTAAATCCTTAAACTTTCTCCATCTCTCTCCCGACCTCGCCTGGGCTTCCTGCACCTCCTCCAAGGTAATGTGATGAGACAGACTATGATTGCAGCCCAGTGCCAGGGAAACTGAGATGGCGAGTGGGTTATTTGTCCCTGTCACGTGGTGCTCTGCCAGATGTCACGGTGCTATTCTATGTGAGATCTGGGGCTGACAGAAATGATGGCAAACTCTTGAGCAGCTTAGGCTAAAATAACGATTCTTTGCATAAAACAGAAATTGTCATCATCATTGTAAACACCATCCTAGCCCTCAAGAAAGCCCAGATGAGCTGTGTTCTTGGTGAAGACAAATGTCCATCCAGAGGAGGGGTATTTATTGGCTCTTCAGGTCCAAGAGAATTCCCAGTCCTCCATGCAGGAAGGATTCCAGAGGCATCCATATCTGAGGATAGGGCCCTAGCTCAGAGCAGAGCTCACTCACTGTACCTGGGGGAAGAGGAGGAGGGTTACTTTCCAGAAACAAAGTTAATTTTCCTTGAGTGATTCATAAAGTCGCAGAATCACAGAATTACAGAACCTTAGAATTTCAGAGGCTGGAAGGGATGTCATAGGGCATCTGGTTTCAACACCCCACATTTTAAGAAAGAAAAAAATAATACAGCCCTCCACTCACCTGCAGTTTCTGTGATAGAGGCCCGGATGAATGCTAATTAGAAGGCTGGATGGAAGAACAGCGTTTTCCTACAATTGGTGTTCATTTTGTGGGATTTCTCACTGTTGAGTAATAGATGTATGCGTCCATCCATTCACCTGTCTGTGTATTTACCTATTCATTGCTCCATCGATTCCTCACCCAGCAAAAAATCGAGACAGCTACCTCAAGAACACAGGCATGGTTTGCTCTCACGCCCTCCTCCTTCCTTTTTGTTTTTCTTTCCCATCCAGGATGAAGACGAGCTAGCAGAGCTCTGTGCACGTGTGGGTGTGGGAGAAAGGCCAGTTGCAGCCAGTGTCATGGTGCTGTTTTTAAAACTCTGCAGGTCCCTCACAGGGCCGTGGCTGATAGCGCCCATGCCAGGATTGCTTGGCCTTAACAGAGCATGCGTTAGAAGGGATATCATGAAGGTATCCAAGAAACTAAAGAGCTGAAACAAGCCTCTCCCTTGTCTTCACAATATCTTCCAGTGCCAGACAGGAAGCCACTGGATGGAGCTGAGGACAAATAAATGTCAATAAACCACCACTGGGAGCTGCTGCTCCCCCATTTCCCGTGGCCTGCAGGGGTTCACTAAGTTAAATGCCGCAGCTGATTGTGAAAGGGACCGGGTGAATCCATGATCAATAATGACGCTGGTTTTTACACGAGCTAAGATAAGGGTAATTCAATCTTGTGCTTCAGGCCATATAAACTGATCTCCACAGAAGGGCAAGAATTAATTTAATTCCACACACACAACCCCACCCGACCCTTCCAACAGCTTTAGTATAATGGACTCGGTGTAGGATGGGGAAGACAGAGCACCAGGTATGAACCACCACACCTGTCGGAAGCTTGAACTTGATGGGCCTCCTGGCTGATCCAGGGCAGCAAATCCAGAGCTTCTTACAGCTTCTCTCTCTGTGCTGGGTTTATTACACACAATCTGTACAGGGGCTGTTTCCACACTTAATGGCCGTCCTGAATCACTATCTATTTCCCATCCTCGCCTGCAAAACAGCAACCCAGAGCTAGTGGTAGGCCATCAATACCGGGCCCCATAAAGCCACTGTTGTATAGATTTGCCTTTTTGTGCATGGGCGTCTGATTCACGAGCACTTTGGCAGCCTTCCAGGCTCAAGGAGAGGAAAAAAACATCCTGAGCATCCCAACAGCCTCATTTTGATCTGTGATACTGAGCAACTCATTTCCACTTCACAGGCTCTGCTGAGCTGTGCCACAGAAAGACAAATCCCAGATGTGGCAGGGGTGGGAGGAGGTGGAGGGAGAGGGGCTGGCTGGAAGGAAGGAGGGTGCTGGAGAGGGAGGGAGGGAGGGAGGGCAAAGGGAAGGGAGGGAAGATGAAAGCAGAAAAGGGCTGCATTTATTAAGCTGTTTTTCTTTTGGTGAAAAGAAGCATTTATCAGTGATTTCATATATCATGTGAGAGGTGGCTTCCTGCCAATTTCCAAGAATCCAAACAACCCGCTGACATCATATGCTAAAAATAGCTCAGGCTTTGCTTTAGGTGAACAAATAATGCCGCTGGACAGGAATAGGTTCTCTTCAGTTACATGTTTATTATGATCAGGCTGTCAGGCTTGTGTAATCAAAAGAATCATGTCCAGTTCCAAGGAGGAATGGTGCAAAGAACTCTTCAAACAATTTCAGGACATGACTGATGAAGCCCCATTCCTCCTGCCTTCCCAGGTGGCCAGCAGAGCCTGGCCACTGGAGGAAAGGTGGGCGACTCTGTTGTTGCAGTGTCTTCAAAGCCCCGGTGTGTGTGTGTGTGTGTGTGTGTGTGTGTGTGTGTGTGTGTTCGTTTTATATTTCCATCTCTGCCCTGCCCTCCACACCCATCAGAAAAGGTGGCTGATCTTCCCAAGGGAAATGCATAGAAGGAAGACAGACCTTGAAACTCACAGATAGGGTCAGGAGATTTTCATGAGGCTGGGGCAGGGCCGAGCTGGGTGGGGTTGGTGGCACAGATAGTCAAGGCAGTCTGCAAGCATTCAGGTAAGGGTGCTTGTCTGATGGCAGTCAGAGAGCCATCTTCCACGGCTCTTGGGCTCTGGTACCTTTGATTCTACCTCCCAGAGCTTTTGTGTTGGCGCACGTCCCGTCTGAAACTGGTGCCTGTCGTTCTGTCTGAAGCCACCTGAAAGATTACGATTCATAAATGAGACCTCTCCCTCCTCTGCTGGCACTCTCCTTCTCCCCACCCACTCCCCCAGGCTCACACTGGGGAGAGAGGGAGCTTGGGATGGGTTCGTAAGTATTTGGCAGAAGGGGCAGCAGTAAGGAGGAGAGAAGGACAAGAAAGGGAGATAAGGAGCCGGTGCATCAAAATAGCTGCTGGAAGGTGTTGTATCCCTTCGAACATCTGCATGATTTCTCTTCTCAGTCAGGGATACAATAGAGGTTGTTACTATGGAAACTGGTGTAAAAGCAGCACAGAGAAAGGAGAGGGCTGGATATAAAGAGGAAAGAGTAAAAGGCGTATAACACTTTTAAATCATCAAAGAGGACTACTATAGCACTTCCCACCTCCAAGAGGAGGAACTAAGTCACTGAGCCCAGGGAGGGTTGAATACTGCGATCATGGGAGGGTCAGGGACTATCAGACACCACCATCCTTTTCCCTGGAAGCCTGTGTGTTGAACCTGCCCACCTGCCGTAAAATCGTTAGCTGGGAAAGAATGTCCGGGCAGCTGAGGGTGGTCAGCTTCATGGCAGACGGCAGGCTCTGCTCGGCTCCGCCATGGCCTCTGGGAATGGCCTTGGAGGGAGCAGGACATTTTTCTGTGTCATGGTTTCATCACCTGCCTTCCTCCTAGGAATGACAAAGCACCTTGCTCAAGAAAGAAAAGCTAGTGTCATTCAGGGCAAAGACATGACAGAGTGTCAAGTGCTCTGTGTGCAGAGGGAAAACGTGTGAGCAATTCCAGCTGGTGCCCTGAGCATAATACCCCAGAGTGGCCACGGACCAGGCAGAGGCCAGTCTGTGCATACCTAACCAGTTTCACTTTGTTTCAGTGTGGGTATTAATGGGATGAAATAATTTGCTCAGACTGAGGAGAGTTTTGACAACCATTGGCCTTTCATTCAGACTCACACATGCAGTCCTGCAGACGGTCTGTCCAATAGAAATATGATGTGAGCCACTATGCAATTTATTTATTTTTTTGAGATGGCGTCTCACCCTGTCGCCCAGGCTGGAGTACATTGGCGTGATCTCTGCTCACTGTAACCTCTGCTTCCTGGGTTCAAGTGATTCTCCTGCCTCAGCCTCCCAGGTAGATGTGATTACAGGTGAATGCCATCATGCCCAGCTAATTTTTTGTATCTTTAGTAGAGACGGAGTTTCACCATGTTGGCCAGGCTGATCTCGAACTCCTGACCTTGTGATCCACCTGCCTCAGCCTCCTGAAGTGCTGGGATTATAGACATAAGCCACTGCTCCTGGCGAAATTTATTTATTTATTATTATTTTTATAGAGACAGGATCTCACCCTGTCACCTGGGCTGGAATGCAGTGATGCAAGCATAGCTCACTGCAGCCTTGAACTCCTGGGTTCTAGCCATCCTCCCACCTTAGCCTCCCATGTAGTTAGGATTACAGGTGTGAGCCACCACACCCGGCTAATTTTTAAATCTTTTGTGGAGATAGCTGATCTCAAACTCCTGGCATCAAGCAATCTTTCCACTCAGCCTCCCAAAGCACTGGAATTACAGGTGTCAGCCACCTCACCTGACCCACTATGGAATTTAAAATGTTCTAGTAGCCACATCCAAAAAGTAAAGAAACAGATTAAATAAACTTTAATATAATTTCGCTGTTATGTTATTTAACCCTAGTATATCCAAAATATAATCATTTCGATAAAATCAATTCAGAAATTTTTGATGAGATATTTTATACCGTTTCATACTGAATCTTTGAAATCTGGATTTATCATTATGTGTGTTGTATGTGTGTGAAAGGAAAAGAGAGAGAGAGAAAGACAAAGAAGGAGGGAGGGAGGGAGGGAGGGAGGAAGAAGCGAGGGAGGGAGGGAGGGAGGAAGAAGTGAGGGAGGGAGGGAGGGAGGAAGAAGGGAGGGAGGGAGGGAGGAAGAAAGGAGGGAGGGAGGGAGGGAGGAAGGGTGTCTCTGGCTCAGGCACTGACTCTGACCATGTGTCTTGCACCACTACGGGAGCGATAATTACACACATGCACTTTTTGAACAGATGGTCAACCTCGAGTACCTCCCTTTGCCATTGAACAACGATCCCCTCATCCTCCAGCCACAATCCATGGCCACTGGAATCAGACAAACCCAGCTGAAACCACAGCCTTCTCACTTTCTAAGTGCCTCTTTCTGAGGGAGTTTCTTAACCTTTCTGAGTTTTCCTTGATGTGAAATGGGAATCCTGTTTTACAACTGTGGTAGCTCCTTCCTGTCCCTTATCCCAGCTTGTTCGCCAGTATTCCGTTGAGTACCTAATCTTCCCCAGGCCTCTGTGAGTGAAGAAGCTAGAATCCTACATTTTTTCCATGTGCTCAGAAAGCCACTTGAGTAGAAAGGAGACTTCAAGGACTAAGGTTGAGTTTATTTCACTGATTCACTCCAGGGTGATCGCTGGCTGTTTTCCCAATACACAGAGATACAAATTCTGAACCATTCAGAAAGAGTCCTTCTTTGGATGGCCATGGGCTATATGGTAAGATGTTAGAAAAGATAATTAAAATATGTCCTTCCTTATAAATAAGATCTAGTATTTGGTAGCACAGTAGGGTGACTATAGTTAACAATAATTTATTGTATATTTTTAAATGGACACAAAGAAATGATAAATGCTTGAGGTGATGGATACCCCATTACCCTGATTATTACACATCATATGCCTGTATGAAAACATCATATGTACCCTATAAATATATACAACCATTATGTATCCATAATAATTAAAAATTTAAAAATAGATCCTTTCTCTGTTAGAGTGGCATTGTCCCATACAGTAGCCATTAAACTCATGGGGCTATTTAAATTTGCATTGATTGAAATTAGAAAATGTACTTTCTCGGACACACTAACCACATTTCAGGTGCTCAATAGCCACAAAGGCTGGTGGCTACTGATTGGACATTTCAGATTTAGAACATTTCTGCATACTAGAAAGTTCTGCTAGACAGCATCATTCTGGGTTTTTAGTCATTTATTCAATATGCAGCCAAAATAAAACTCAGAGACAGCAGGACAGCATGCATAAGCAGGCCTAAAGTCAGGCTGGGTGGGTTTCATCCTTTCTCCACTTTGGGCCATGTGTCAACTTAAGAAACTTTTTTTTTTTCTTTTTTTGAGATGAAGTCTCACTCTGTCGCCCAGGCTGGAGTGCAGTGCCACAATCCTGGCTCACTGCAACCTCTACCTCCTGGGTTCAAGCGATTCTCCTGCCTCAGCCTCCCGAGTAGC